TAGGAAAATCCCATTATGAAGCAAGAATTGCGCAATAACAGAAAGAAACGAAAACGAAAGAATGAAACAAGAGTTGCGCAATAATAGAAAGAAAGGAGAAGAAGAAGAAAACACAGTCTTATGAGCTATCAGGAATGGCAGATCATAACAGAGTGTTTCACTGCAATAAAAAGCAATACAAGTCTGATTGTTAATCAGTTGCATATTAGTCACTCCAAATGTACTTTAATAATGAAACTACTAGTATAAATATTATACTCTATGACATGCGGACTTGCATTGCTTTTTCTTATAAGTAACAAACTTATATAGAATTTTTTTCCAGGACCTGAGAGCTTTTTAAGAAGCTATCGGAGTTGATCGAGGGAAATTCATCCAGAAGTAAGTCATCCGGATTCCAATATGTCCGGCAAATGACTCATCCGGACATGTTGGATTCTGGATGAATAGTTTTTGAAAGAGTTAAAAGAAGGATTTTAATAATCCGGATTTCCTCCCAATCTTCACTATTTCTACCGTACATTGGCGCCATCTGTCATGGTAAACGACTAGACCATTGTTTCGCAGACGCAGCATTTATTTCTAATGACAGAAAACTTAGACAAGAGAATATTTTTCATGTATGAATCGGGAAAATTCATAGGTCTCTAGCAAAAAGAAAGAAAGGATAAAGAAAGGCGTTCTTTCACGCTTGGAAAATTAAGTAAATGTACGTGTTTTGTATGCACAGAATAAAACAGGTAGATGAAACGGTATGTGTTTTAGGTAATTAATACTGAAGAATGCTATTTCTCAACTTAAAGTGTACAATGGAAATTATGAAAGATTTTTTCGACCTTTTATTCTTTTTAAAATATTTTATTAATAATCCATTTTTCAAACTGCTTTCAGCTATGTGTATAAGCAATACATTGCGTAGACTTTTCAGTTTTAATTTTTTCTTTTTAAATTTTATTGTATTTCTGTTCATTTATTTGTAATTATGTAAAGACACAATTCTGATCATGGGTGTAAGAAAAAAGTTGAAGGAAAAGATATTTGTACCCAATTCGAATGAAAGTCCAACAGACTTTGCTGAACCATTGTTGCATGTAACAGAAACGGGCAATGACGGTGATGAGTCAGCCATATTTTTGGACAAAGTTTATGCTAGCCTTAATGAATTTAATGAACAACATCGTCGATTAGATAAAAATAAAAGTTATGAAACTGACATACGGATGATGGGCGGTTATGCTGTTGATAATATTGAAAATAAAAGATTTGTTGTTTGTCTTGATGTTTATTTTTATTTGTATCGTAAAATAGATGAATACGCTAGTTCTAATCGGATCACTACACTTCTAAACGAATCCGATAAATTTAAAAAGACATTGTTAGTCCATGTTTATCAAACGTTTACATCAACTGGAGGATTAACACCAAATTTAACGACAAAAAACGCAGATATAATTCCAGAAATAATCGCTCGTCTGATCACTGGCCCTGGTCACAATATCATCGTCAACTATCTGTCGTTTTCATCGGCTTTTGAAGAATTTTCATTTGATATTCCAACCTTTATTCATTTAATGACATTGTCTGGAAGATCTAGTTCATTAAGCAACATTTTCCACTATGCGGAGAAGCTTGGTTATTTGAGTAAAACAGAATTTTATGAACAGTATCTTGAATTATTTGCCCGAGACGCACACAAGTACAGTACAGCTGACATAGCTAAATTTTTTGAATTCATTAACCATAAATCAGCCTCTAAATCAGTATTTCCTATTTTACTGTTCTGGATATTTTATGAATTTATGAATAACTGAAGATGGTTGGGATGTGTTTATTAAACTTGGTGAAATGGGTATTACTGAATCCAATATTGTTCAAAATCGATTTCTATCTATCTGCTATCTGATGTTAAGAAAAGAACTAAAGATACGTCAAATGATAAATTTAACGATTTAATGAAATCCGCACTTAATAAATTACCAACATTTTATGAACAATGTCGAGCAAAATTTATTCCCATTTTAGAAACCATTTTCTATTCATATGTAGAAATGCTTCCAAAGTATAATTTGATTAAAAATGCCGATGACCCCAAACAGCTAAAGAAATCAGCCTACGAACTATCGTTCTTTAATCCTAAGCCATTATACGAGTCGTATAAACTATTGCTTATCGAATACCTAATCAAGTTATCTTGTGTTAGTACAGTAAATCCTATGCAAAATTTATTATATTTGTTGGAAAAAATTTTCTGACTTCAATAATGTAGTATTGGGCGAAAGTGATGATATATCAAAAATTATCGAAGATGAATGGTTTAAAAATGTCGTACAACCTATAATTAGTTGGACAGAACCATCACCCTCTTTCTATAATGAATTAACACAACAAAAAAATCCTTGTATTCTTTCTTTATGGAAACGTATTATTAAACTTAGTTTGACTAAGCTACACGTTTCTGATCATAATCAAGTGTCAGAAGCTTTCAATCATTAGATTTATTCAAATCGAAACACTACATATGATCCAAATGATATTTTAACAATCATATTAATTACCGACGTTTTTAGTGCAACTATTCCTCATCTCGATCTTATTAATCTACCACATATTGATTATTTTATTCAATACAATAATTCAAATTTATCACAACCTCAACTAAAATATCAGATACAGACAACAACTATACATGGATTTGTTCTACAAGCTCGTCAGTTAATTTAGGAAATTATATCTTTCAAAGGTACATAAACATATATATGTAGATTCAACCGAAATGCCAAAGTATGCACCTAAAAGTTGAGGAGGATACTAACTGTAAGATCGGTTACTTGTTTTTTGTAAGTTTTAGAATTTTAGCCTGATTCAGGTATTTTTGCTCATTTTATTCTGTTAACTACTCTTTACAGGAAAGAAGAAAAAATATTGGGCACCATTTTCAACACCAGATCACAAAAAACCTATGATTTTTCTAACAACGTTCCGATAGTTTAATCACCCGTTTTCTTTCTTGTACTATTAGATATCTAGTACCAGAAGATGGAACATCACTGTCGTTTCCTACGAGTTTTTGGAAAAACTTTAAATTTTCTGATAAAATCACTCACCAAGTGTATAAATAACATTCTTTTAACTTTTGGTTTCTAGCAAAACGCTCCACTTACATAAGACTTCATTATTCACGAAATCGTGTAAACTGTTTAAGTCTATTAGCTAGTGGCATCCAGTTGTCTCAGATTAAATTGTTTAACAGTGAAGAGCATAAATTTCCAACAACCATTCCAATAATTGATGAGATATTGACACATCTGCAAAGGCCCGATGATATCGGACTTTTCAACAATTTAGTTGATTTTATAAATCAGGTATTTGAATGGATCAATGGTTTGATGGTTTCATCAGTACATTTCAACCTATTATTGCTTGGTTAAAAATTTATGAAGTAGCTAATATGGATTTTTTGTTAATTAGTCTGAAAGAAATCGAAGAAAATGATATGGAGTTGGTGTTTGTGAAAAATTTGGTTAAAAGTCTTCTAGTTAAACTCATACCACTATCAAGTCATTTACAACGTTTATGTCGATTGCTTAGCTGTTCAACATCATTCATAATAACAAATCAAGATGCAATTAATTTAAACAGAAATGCTCAAGAATTTATCAAAAAAATAAAACAATCATCATCAGCTAATACATTTGATGTCGGTGAAAAGTCGATTGGTGAGAAACTGATTAAAATCAGTGGTAGACAACTAATACAATGGTCATTAGCATGCGAAAATCATCCTTGTGATATCCAGATATTACATACAAGTTCAACAGCAATCAATAATTATCATCGAAACATATTATTTCGACAACAGGATGTGCCGATTAATTCTTATATATTGAAAGGAGAATACGAAACGCAACGTGGAGGAAATTTTATATTTCTAGTCGATAATCACAGTGGATATATACCAAGAAAACTATAGTATCTACGTATCACAAATTTATCCCCAAGTACATTATTTCTCAGTATATTTAAAAATTGTTTTGATGAACTTTATAATGAGCCACGACAAGTAACGACAAAAGATGTAGCTAGTCTATTAAGTAAAGATGTATTTAAATTTATTGATAAATTATTAATTGGTGATGTTAGTTTAACTGAAATGTTAAATTTGAAAACAACATTTTCTAATGATAGTATTGATATAAAATATGAAGTTACAAAATTATATTTATCTCAAGGTAGTGATGCTAAAAATCTAAAAAGACAAATCGAAAAAATATGTGAATGGTTACAGATATATCAATATTTTAGTTTTATATCAACAATTATTGACTGTATTAAATCTTTTGAAATTATTGATGATAATAATCAATCAATAACACAACTAGAAATTGTTAGTAATATCGAAGATAAACGTTTAAAACATATATCAGAATCAAATGAAACATCAAAAATTATATTCAACGGATTGGATAACAGACATTTACAATTAATTAAAGTAACATTGGAATGTTCATCTGTTATAAAAACGTTTAAAAGAGCTGCATTATATAGTCCAAAAGGAAGATTAAGATTTCGTGAATTACGTGATAATTTAACGACACAATTTCAATTACAAGAAAAATTTAATCTAATATTAAACGCTCTCATTGTTACTTATGCTGTACGTGAACCATTTGTTGTAAACGCAATGGATGTTAAAGAGTTTTTTAAACGTCTATTAAATTTATATAATATTGATGAATCGATTAATCAATTACAAATTGTTAATGAAAATATTCAATTAGTTACTTTATGGTTAGCAACAGATGAAATAAGCACTTTAGATAATGCATTAATAACAATGGGACGATTATATAAAAATGGAAAAGTTGATATCCATTTAAAACATTTAATTGATGAAAAATCCTATTTTGAATTAAATTATTATATAGAAAAAATGCGTAATATAACAACATTGCATGAGCTTGAGAATAATAATGCTCGTCTTTCTTCTCAAGAAGCAAATCAAAGTGTTATGAGACGTCATAGTAGTAACGAAATGGAAAAAATTCATTTTACAATGTCACAATCTGATATAATTGATCATAAACGACAACTAACATTTTGTAATGTTGATTTAAAAAATATTTCACATAAAAAGTTGATGCTTAATGAACAGTTAGAAATATTAAAAATCATCGAAAATAGTTTTTCTGTACTGATTAGACTAGAATCGGTAGGACATCCACACTATCAAATGAAAATAATGTCTTATGATATCAGTGACAAAAATGGTGATTTATCTTCAATAATGCAAAAAGAAAATGAACAACAACAACTGAATACAACTGATATAAATCAACTGCAAACGTGTTTAAAAGTTTGGATCGATAATGTAAGAAGTCAATTAAAAACTTTAGAAATAACATTAAATAATTGATTGTATTGTCTTCAACGTTATCGTCAAAAACATCCGACCTTGGAATTGTTTACAAATAGACAAGTAATGATTATGCTAATATTATTATCATCACTATCATCAAATACACAGTTAAAGACAATATTTTTAAACAGATTGTACGACAACTATTTCTTAAACTATCACGAAAATAATGATGACGAAGAGCAACAACATCAGCAACAAAAAATGTTGACTATCGATTGTATGAAACATTATCTACGAATGATTGAAACACACAGATATCAAAATATTGATAATGATTTATTTTATGAATATTTGGAAGAATATTCCATTGAGTTGCAGAGTAATATCGAAGGTTCATTAGATAAACTTTGTGAGTTTTTAAATGAAGTAACAACACTAGTAAATGCTAGAACACAGAATACATCAAAACTGAATAGTAAACGAATGACTACTACAGCGACAACAACCACAACAAATTCCGATGTAACCGATAATCAACAATATTTTATTTCATTAGATTCTAGTAATAAAATATCAATAGAATTATTACAACAAAATAATGATATAGATATTGATGGATGGTGTAAACTGTTAAATATATTCAACAAACAATTACCATTAGCGTTTCAAATTCTGTGCAGTTCAACTGCCATAAACAACGACATCGCATTATTTTTTTCTAGAATTCGTACATATGTTAATATGAAATTTGTTATTATTGATATTGATAAAATGGATCATCGTATAGGTGAAATATTTTCATATAAACAGGATGAACTATCAATACAAACAGAGTCACATGCCAAAGTGTTTTATATATCAGAAGAGCTTAGTCGTAGAAAAGGTATTAGACAATGGACTAGTTCACAAGTTATAGTTCCAGGTATAATACGTTCAAGAATTAATGATAGTTATCGTCAAATGGGTACCATACGGCTAACCGGAACTGTTATGTCATTTGCATTACTTCTTTCTCTCTTTCAAATCATCAAAAAATACAGGAAATATGAGACCGACTGAGGCCTGTCGAATTCGTAAAGTTGTTACGACTTAGCGAATTTTATGTGCAAAGCATGTGCGATTCTCGTGTACTACAGGTCGAGCGATGGACGAATGTGGAACAACACTAGATCTTGAACGACTGATATTTTTCTAGTTACCATCAAGATGAAGGTGACGCTGCTAATCTGTAGTTCAATCTATACTAAATTACTATCTAGCTGACGCATCTCTAGCTTTTTCACTTCTTTCTCTCTTTCAAATCATCAAAAAAATACAGGAAAGATGAGACTGACTGAGGCCTGTCGAATTTGTAAAGTTGTATACGACTTAACGACTTTTATGTGCAAAGCATGTGCACATTCTCACATACTGAATACAACTTATTCTACCTTTATAACATTTGCAGCGGCCCACTCTCATCCCCATCACCCACCAACCTCATGTAACACGTAAGTATTCTGTTGAACTGCTGTGTCCTGAAGTCGTAAACGAATTTGCGAGTTCGACATGTATGGACTGACTCCACTAGGTATGTACCGGTTTCGGTTTTGAAACCGAAAAACCGACACAAAAAAACGATGTTCCGTTTAAACTGACACCGAAAAAATTTCAGACATTTTTTTTTTAGGTTTTAAAACGATATGATTAGTTAGCACATAACAGCTATTTACGTCAAAGAAACATCTAATTTTATCTGTACCGGTTTCGGTGTACCAACAATCAAAAGACTCAAACTGGTAAAAGTAGAAAAAACGTAATCTCTTTTGGTTCTGCTAGACTTAGACAGTGTCTAATAGACATTGTTTTTACGCTTTGATACTAGTTTAAACTTTTTATGTAAAATAAGAAAAAAAATAACTAGTAATAATCACAAGCAAGAGGGAGACATTCATAATAGTAATCATTATTTCGTGTAGATAAAAAAACAGAATATAAGCAACAGTAAGAGTACAACAGAAACAGCAAGAATATATCTCATGGTTTTTTAATCTTTCTGATTAGGCTGTTTGTTGATCAGAAAGGTTCAGAAACTATCATTTATCTAATAAATGCGCTTTCTTTAAAAGACGGCTATCAAGAAACAACATTTTACAATAATACTAAGTCTGAATTAACTACTGGTGACGACCTATGAGACTGGCTTGAGAGAGGACAAGAAGGTAGAAGATCGCATGCAATTAATTTTCTCTTGCAGCCATCTTCAAGTATAATAGTACCTTCTTCAAGAAGGCTTCTTGAATGTGACAATGCTCGCTTTTTCCGATGTCGGTTAATCAACACCAGTGCATACCTAGACTCCGCTGTAAAATTCTGATAAGACTGCATAATCTTAACATATCTAGTTCCAGTTTCTATAGTTCTTAAGAATTGCTCGAAAAAACTCGTAGCAGTTTTTGTTCAAAAAAAACTGAACCGAAACTATCCCATCTCTAACTATTGAGCTCAAAAGGTAATCTTCTATGTAGGAAAATATGGATGAAATCGTTAGCTTCTTTCTTATAGGTAAAACACATAAGATACGTTAAACCTGTAATCCTAAAACCACAACATGGATTAGTATTAATGATAAATTAAATTTATCCAATCTGATCCGCTAATTAATATGTCATACAGATGATCATCTTCAGGATGAATATACGATTTATTTCAATATTTCAATACATGCACCATTTGAGCAATTAAATCGTCTATTTTTTTCATTATTTATCTGTTCCACACTAATGGATCCTGATAGTGGTTTAACTTTTTCTTTATCACATGGTAAACTGGGAAAATTTATTATTGAAGTATCACATTTTGGTAAATCACAGGTGTCCGTTACAGAAAATTTTGAATGTATTTTCCCATTGTTATCAATATTATGTTCAAACGAACATAATATTGAAGAAATAACTGATACTAATTATCCTCTCAACATCGGTGATAATGAAGAACTTGCGGCAAGATTCTTAAAAGCATTTGCCGATGGAACAATCAGTCGTACATTAACACGTGCCTTCTTCCCGGAACAACCAGTTGTCTTTTCAAAATTAGAAAAGGTCGAATGTTATACACCAATCCGTGACACTATACAGCAATATGCTTTTGATTTATCACCTAATAAAATATATCAACAATGTTTTGTCAAATTTCTTTATCGCCGTGTACAATTTTTTACTAGCACATATTATTGTTATACTGAGCGTATTAAGAATTTGGGTTCAACCGTTATGAGGCAAGTGATTGAAGAAACTAGAAGTTTAGTACAAATTGATTTCACAACAGAAAATTATCGTAAAGTCTATTTAGTTTATGATCCAAATTTTTCATTAAAACTATTACATGCTGACTGGAACGCTGTACCATCCGAAATACAAGAATTATTTGATAAAGAAGATCCAATGAACAGTGAACTATTTCAAAACAAAGATCGTTTTTGTGTATGTTTATCATGGTTGCTGAATGTTTTCTACGAAACATATCAAAAAATTGCAAATGAAATTAAATTTATTACAACAGAAAGTATTGCCTATAAATTATTTCATTTACATGAACGAAAACTAATGCGCATGCCATTAATCATAGAAGGTGATACAGGTAAAACAGAACTGAGAGGACTTTTCTAGCGCCGTCTAATGCAGAGCAGAGACATCTCATTTGTTAATATGTACATATTATATTTGTATTCAAAATTAGAAAATGATCCTGATCTTGATATCGCACCACGTATAAGAGAGCGAACAAGTCTATGGTTGTTGTATAATATTATTAATAAAACTATATAAAAATAATCTTATTTGAAACTCGAGCCTTCATAAACATTTCTTAGTCCGGGTTACAGGATGATTAACTGCATCCTGTGACCCACAGATGCAATATATTCGTAAACAAAAGGTGTCTTGCGCTTTTTCTTCTTTATCAGTGTCGTCGAAGAAGCAAAGAGAAATGTATACTGTTTTTGTGACCGGTTTATTTGAAAATGTAGCAATATCGTGGATCAAGTTACAGTGGATCAAATTACAATTTTCTGCTGTCTTCTTCTTCGTCTTTCCAAGAATCATTTTTTCTATATAATCCATATCGCGGGATATATAATATACAAAATGTTCACCTCATCCTAAGACCATTAAATCACGTCCCGAGAAATGAAGATACAATTATTTCAGTTAAGTTTTCTGTTTTTTGCAAACTTTATAAAAACAATGCTAGTCAACAAACCAATTGTTATTAATAACTTTTTCCAAGGCCCTCTTGATTGAACCATCGTCGTATTCGCTAATATTTTATAATTTTCTTTCATAGCTGGATGTTGTGTTGTTGACATGATTCTTATTGATCTTAAACAATATTCACGCGCTTGATGTTTATTACCAATTTTATAATAAACAACACCAAGACTACTAAGTACATTACCATATCCTTCTTCATGTACTCTGTTACATTCTTCATATAAATTCTTTGATTTTAAACAATATGTCAAAGCGTCAGTATAACTGCCCGACTTACAACTATACCATCCAATATCGTTGTAGAAATCAGCTGTAGTAGTTGCTTGATCGCTGCCGTTATTGTTTAAAAGCTCATGGTCTTTCGCTGTAATTGCTTTTTGAAAATAACTAAGAGCTAGACCATATTTAGTTCGCTCACAATAGATTTGTCCAATATGGAAATAGACTCTGTGGTGTTGGAATTTAAATATTTTTCATAATGCTCGATAGCTCGATCATACTCATTTAAATTCTGATACAACAATGCAAGGTCATAAATTTTTTCTGATTCTCCACCAGTCATTTGACTATGTATTACCAACAACAACCATTTATTAGAATATTTGACAAATAGGTTAAGTTCCTTTTTTTCTTTATATATTTGCCCAACACAATATAATGCATATAAATATGCTTCTGAAATAGTATCTGGTATTGAATTTTCGTATATATCTAATGTTCTATGAAAATAAACAAGAGAATTACCGAAATCTCGTTGTTTAAAATAACAAATTGCAATATTTGTATTGATTTTTTCAATCTCTTCTTTATTTTGATCTTCCGTAGCATAATTTAATGCCGATTGAAACTGTTCACGAGCCAAATCAAACAGACCTTTAGCAGCTAACAATTTCCCGATCCTGTTATAAACAGAAAGAAAATCAGAATTTTCAACATGTTTTGAATATGTTTTATATATAGTCAATGATTTCTGATAATTATCAAATGATTTATCCAATTCTAGCATTCGTTCATAACACGCAGCAATACCAAAATATGATTGTCCGACGCGAGCAAGATACCGTTTTGACCAGAAACTTTTTTCATCAATTTCTATTGCTTTTGTTAAATATGTTATGCCTAAATCGTATTGCTTATTTAAACTATAAATATTACCAAGACGAATAGAAATATTTGCTATAGATGAATGATTAGATGGATAAATTTTTTCATATATATTAAATGCTGCTTGTGAATATTCTAACATTTTAACATAATTCGTCCAATGAAAATAAATATTACCAACATCTTCATAAATCAGGGCTAGTTGTGATAAATCCACTATTCCATTTTTTTGAAATTCAAATGCTTGTTCATATTGTTTTAATGCTAGATTATAATAACCGTTTCTACCATAAAGACGTCCGATATTATGTTGTAATTTCGATATTTGTAAATAATCATCATTCGGTGTATATCGTAATGCTATTGTTAATAATTCAAGTGAACGATCAAAATTATCTTGTTTTTGATAAATAACACTTAATAAATTTATTACATTGCATCCAAATTGAAAGTTATCTATCATTTGTTTCTCTTTCCACATGTGATATGCTTGCCAACCAGTTGTAAGAGCTAAATCAAGTTGATCAGCACCTAAATAAGCCATTGATAAACCATATAATATAAAATGTGTTTTGTTTTGTTGTTGTTGTTTTTGAAAATAATCAATTGCTTTACAATATTGTGCTAATTCTATGAGCAACATACCAAATGATTGATCTGTATTTGTTCTTTTATTCAAATTATCTTGTTGTGTTTTAATATAACTATTAATTGCAAAATAATCTTTATAATTTGCAACGCTCAAAGATACTTTCCATAGATTAAAGTTTGTATCATACTGAACATTCATTATCTTAAATGTTGTACCTAAATCAAATAAAACTTCTTCTTCACCAGGTTTAGTACTATATCTAGAAATGTCAGCAAATATAGCTAATTCATCAAACTGTGTACCAATTTTAATTTCATAAATAACATTTGTTGCAAACATTTTTGCAACATCTGGTGACCAACTTGTTGATAGAAAACCATTTGCTGATATCAGTTGTCCAACACTATTATTTTTTAATTTATCAATTTCATGTTGTGATAATTTTTGTCCTCAATAGAATGTAAAAATGGCTCCCGGTAAATCGTCTTTGAATTCATCATATTCAGCTTTTAAACACGTGCACAGATCAACTAAATAATACCGAAATGAATACAAACCTTCAAGATCTTCAGTTCTTAATGCTCGATTTATTAAACGAAATAAAAATGTATCTTTTGTATACCACATGATTGCTTTCGATGATTCATAGGTTCGTTCGAATTCATCAATTTTAGTTAATTCACGTGGATCATTTTTATAAATCAGACGACATTTTTCCAGCATTTCTTGCTTTGATTCTTCGGTTTTAGTTGTTTTCATTAAATAATCTCGGAACAATTGATACCATAACAAATTTGGTAATGTTTCATTTGTTAAATCACGAGCTGATTTTTCTGTTTGATTAAATAAACTAAATGTTGTTAGTTCGTGTATTAATGTATGTATAGTCATTTTAATAGCCTGAAATAATGATTCATATGTTGTATGAATACCACCCATTGATAATTTTGAATATGCACTAGATAAATATTTATAATTTGTTTCATTTATACAAAATATGTGAACTGAATGAACTTGATTATTTTTTTGTAGTGATAAAAGTACATCTTCTTTAGCACATTGACCAGATAAAATAACAATGCCTGTACTGTCCAGTTCATCGATCGCATCAAGGGAAGCAACTTTTGTTGTACAGATTGAAACATTATGGATATGAAGTTCTTGTAGTAAGAATTCTTTCAATTTTAAGTCCATTTGTTCATCAAATAAAAGTAAAGTTATGTTTTCATTGTTTGATGCTCGAATAACTTCTGTAAACAATAATAAATCAGAATCTTGCAGGGAACGCAGAGAAGATTGGTAATTCATCACCTTTCTTTCCCGAAAGCGCTGTATCGAGCTAATATATATTCTGTTGAAGGAATGTTGTATTATCACATCATATGCTTATGACAGTTGTTTCCACGCGGTAAACATAGATAAAGCGAAGGTCATACCTATATATACACATAGAATAAAAACGTGTTCGTGGAAAAGCGTATTCGTTGCATGCCGAACGCGGTCATATTCTTCGAGTTGTTATCGGTGCATACAAATATTATTTCCATCTATTGTAGAAAAATATTGTCTTTCTATTTTTAAATTTACCAACTTGCTAGTAGTAGCTAATTCTCAAAAAAAAGATCATTTTTATTTTTTTCAATTATTGTTCTATAATAATATTTCTATTTTTTAAACAAGATTGGGTAAGTTCAATTTCCTTTTTCATAAAAAAGCAATTAATTTTTGTATTCTATACATACAAGCTTCAAAAAGTTGAAAAAGTAATGCCCATTCATCAGGATTTGCATGTGTTACTTCCACTATCAGAAACTGATAGAACAGTTTTGGTTAACTGATATAGCTTATTCCGCTTGTAAACTCTTTCTCGGAAACCTACTCAGGATCGGTTTAGGAAAAGAAATTGTACATAACCTTCTTTGCCCGCGACGCATGGTTACTTTCAGGCATGCACCGGAATTTTAATCGATTAACTGAAACCGATACAATCGAAAAAAGTACATTCTTGAAAATGACTTTGAAACGGTGTGATCACACCGTATCAATATTTCTTTCCGGCGTTGAGAAAACTCACATGCAATAAGAACCATTCTATATCAGACAAGTGATTTTCGAATAAAAAGTAGATTTTTCGTTCAAAACTCGTAGCTAGAATAGGTTAAAAACTATGGAGAATCTAAGAAAAATCATTTCGAGAGGTATAGGAAGTCTCCAGGAAACGTTAGCGTCCAAAAGCCGAAAATTTGTTGTGCTTCACATGCTATCATCTTTTTATATTGATTTATTGATTTGCTAGACTAGAAAAGTAAGAATATAGTTAAACAGTGTTAGAAAGCTAGAAATTAGAACAGATCAATGTGTAATACTAATATAAAAAATATAAAAAAACCTACTATCCGTTTCAAAATACAAGATACTCAGTTGTTTTTTGAATAACTTTTGAACGAAAGGTGATAGAGATCTGCGGTTTTCAGATTCTAAAACTAGACACTTTAATCCCAAATATTACCAGTCGATAGCCGGGTTTTCACCAATTTGGCTTTGCTAAGATTGTGATTGAGTGGGGAATGAAACAAACATCTCCACGATGGTCAACGTGGTCGATTATCTATGATTTACGTCTTTTTGAGATTTCCAGACATGTCCGGAACCAGACAAGTGTGTCCTCCGAAAAAGTCGGTATCTCCGGAACAAAAGGAGATGAAGATCTGGGGCCTGCGTGGTTTTGAGGAGTGATGTCCTGGCTATCGACTGGTAATATTTGAGATTGGATTTCACAGTGCAGTTTGGGAACAGTAAGCTTTCAGACTTTGTCTCGAATGGTATACCGTGGTAAACCTGATCGTGAAAACTTTGTCTAATCGAATAAATAGGGTCCTGTTCGTGATCAGCGCTAAAAACCGAATCTAGGGATGTATCTTTGAGCTGAAAATAAAAATGTGCTCGAACTTCGAATTAGCGGCGCCTCACAAAAATTTTCATCTCTCTGAATAATCTATACCAAGTGTTCACAATAATGCGAGATATTACAAGATTATGAGTTTCAAACAAACTCGAAAATACCAAAAGGTCTTCTGTTATCTGTCTAATCTAATAAATAAACACACGACTCTAAACCAAGAAGATCAGCTAGCTCTATGTAAGTGTGAAAGTATACTGGAACTATAGACAGCAATTAAAATGTTCTGTAGAACAGAGAGCACCAAAAATTATTCACTTGTGTGTTTCTTTGTCTTTCATCGCTTCCGATTCTCCGAAAAACTGCAGTAATTTGCATAACTCTTTCACTTCCACACTCTCATCTTAAACACAGAATCTTACATCAGAATACTCGCTTAGAACTTCTGGTTACTGGTAAAGCTATGAGAACCGGCACCTTACAATCGACCCGAACAGTTAAAGAAAATTTCATTCTCAGGTAAGAATATATCTATATATATATTTTTCCAGGGGGGTAGAGCTGAAACTACAAATGATATAAAGATTTATTATATACGAAATTAATGTTCATCTAAAATGGAATTGATGTGTACGACTGATATTCTGTATGACGCTTATTGGCTGTAGAACTATGGAAGTTTCTATCGAGTGCGTCATAATGATTAAATTCTGGGTGTAGCAGTGCTTTGAGTAAAAGTCCCGTAACTTCAACAAAACAAACGCTTTTTCGATCGGATTTGTTTTGTTTTGATCAGGAATGATTGCTTTTCTATTACTAATTCTGAAATCAAAACATCGATCAGGTTTTCCATTTCTTACTTCGGCACATTGCTGAAAATGAGGAAAAAGTTTTGAAACTTAGTTCTCCAGCCCACCATCTGCTCTAAAAAACATTTTTCACAGGCCATAGGAAACAGCATGTTCAGAAGTACAAAAAGAACTGAGTTCTCACTTTTGCTACACTCTTTTGCGTGAATAATTGCTGAAGAAAAAAGTCAAGTCGAAAGAATACCACACAGTGGGCATTTTTTGCTAGAGCAGGCGGACTTTAGCTTTATGAGTGAACTAAAATTTCATGAACCGTTTTTTTATAGGTTTTTCATGATCCTCTTTCTAATGCCATGAGAGTTGGGTTTTGAAAAAGTTTTCTAAGGAGTTTTCCAGAGATCCAGTCTATGGAAAACCTTTCAGAAAACTTTCTCAATATTTA